GAGGCTGGCATGAACTGATATCATGCCTCCTGCGCCGCATTAGTGGAGGGAGAAGGTGTCCTTGCTCTTCTGGGACGGGACATTTCCACCGGCTTCTCAGTGACTATCTGGTCATTTTTGAGCTTTTAACTTTGAACACTAGGCCAATAGGCTCAGCAGTCATTCAAATTCAAGAGAGGCCCTGCAAAGGTTCAGAGAGAGCCAGGGACCCAGTGTAACGGGAGGCAAGAGTCAGCTCACCGGTCTAGTAATTCATTTAGACCATGTACATATTTGTCATTCTTGTTCAAAGATAAGTGATTATTTCTCCCTTAAAACCATCACACAAGAGCGTGGCTGTTAAATAAAAGGGACATTGTTCTTAAAACTGATCTTGGGCCAAGTACACTGGGCACAGTCTTATCTTCAGCATTCTTGAAGTTCTGGTAGTGATCCAGCATCTGTGTTTTATGAACAGAGAGAGAGCTGATACCTCTCCTACACACGCCTCCTCCTTCTGTCCACTATTGTTGCACTTAAAAGGAAGCAGGACTCTAGTCCAGTGTAAATCATCCCTGCAGGGGAGTAGCCACAGTGGCTTCACTGAGGAACAAGATCTCTCTCTGTTGGCAAATGTGAGTTAGCCTCCTCTAGTACCTACACATATAACCAAATGTAACCACATTTTTAACTTGAACTTGAACATAGAACCATTCAAGGGACTTCAGTGTGGAGTAGGATTCCTTTTTGTCTTCGTGAAACTTTTAAATCATTGAATCAATGATCACTTAGTAACTAATTTAAAAAAGACTGTAGGGAACATTACTATGATTTGTTATGTTGTAGGAATCCTGGACAACCTGGGGCAGAGATTGAAGCAACAGATTGTTAACATGGGTGACTGCTACATAGGACCTTGAAATCTTCCTTTAAACACCCAAGACTGTGGCCTCCATGACCAAAACTCTAGCAGAAGCTGGCTTTACTTTTAGAAAACAAGAAATACAAATAGAAACAATATGCAAACGCAGCAACTTCATTATCTCGTCATGTGTCCTTATTGAACACTGGCTATGTGCCAGCTACAAATATCATGTCAGACCAGGGAAATACAAAGTTGACTAGGACGTGGTCCTAGATCCATGTAGTTTTGGTCATAATATGCATTTTCTATGTTTTTTTTTAAGGCCCCTTATACTTTGTCTTGAACAGAGAATTGACAAAAGAACAGGAAACAAAGGGTCAGAATCTAAAGAAAACTCTAGGGGCCGGCACTTGCAGTGCCGGCATCCCATATGGGTACCAGTTCGAGTCCTGGTTGCTCCACTTCTGATCCAGCCCCCTGCTATGGCCTGGGAAAGCAGTAGAGGATGGTCCAAGTCCTTGGACCCCTGCACCCTCCTGGGAAACCCGGAAGAAGAAGCTCCTGGCTCCTGGCTTCAGATTGGCGCAGCTCTGGCCATTGCAGCCATCTGGGATGTGAATCAATGGATGGAAGACTCTCTCTCTGCCTCTGCCTCTGCCTCTGCCTCTCTGTAACTCTGCCTTTCAAACAAACAAATAAATATAAAAGAAAGAGAGAGAGAGAGAGAGAGAGAGAGAGAGAGAGAGAGAGAGAGAAAGAAAGAAAGAAAGAAAGAAAGAAAGAAAGAAAGAAAGAAAGAAAGAAAGAGAAAGAAAGAAAATTAAGAGATCCTGCAGGGACTGATTTCGTTTTTGTTTTTTTTTTTTTTTAATTTTTATTTATTTGACAGGGAGAGATCTCCTCCATCCACCGATTCACTTCCCAAATGCCTACAACAGCTGGGGCTAAGCTAGGTGGCAGCCAGAAGACCAGGACCCCAATTTAGGTCTCTCATGTGGATGACAGGGAACCAAGCACTTGAGCCAACATGTGCTGTTTCCCAGCATGCACAGGGCCCACAGAAGGGTAAGAGGAGTTATTGCAACCCTCTTTATTTGCCATAATTCCCCTTCAGATTAATTTTTAAAAGATTTATTTGTTTGTTTGTTTGTTTATTTGAAATTCAGAGATAGAGGTAGATACACAGAGATCTTCTATTCCATGGTTCACTCCCCAAATGGCTGCAACAGCTAGAGCTGGGCCAGTCTGGAGCCAGGACCCCTATGTAGGTCTATGACGTGGGTGCAGGTGCCCAAACACCTGGGCCATCTGTTGCTGCTTTCCCAGGCACACTAGCAGGGAGCTGGATTGGAAGTAGAGCAATCGGGACTCAAACCATTGCCTATATGAGATGCCAGCTTCACAGACATGGGCTTTACCCACTACACCACAATGCCAGTCCTGAGATTAATTCTAAAGCTGAAAGACAAGACAGTAGGCTTGTTATAGAACATCCTCAAAACTAGTTGGAGGAATTGCTATACAACTCCCAAGGCTAGATTCACTTGCCCAGCACACAGCGATCCAATTATTTACACCAGGGTGGTGAAAGAAAATAGGTGTTTACTGCGAAGCACAGAGCAAAGAACCAGGCACCTCTCACTAACTCCTGATCTCCTCAAGGGATCATGGGGAAAGGTTCTTTCAGATTGAACTTGGGCTGAGCAGTGAGTGTTCAGTTCCTGTGCAGGTCCCTGGTGGGCCTGCAATGCTCATAGCCCGCCTTTGATTGGCCAGTGATGTCATGTTCTTTTGGGAATGTTGATGATGGCAAAGTGGGCCCCCACCAATCAGGTCATCTTGCCTGGGACCTGGGATTCCTGGTAACACCCAACATCAAGATGCTATCTTATGCTGGCACTGCAGCTCACTAGGCTAATCCTCCGCCTGTGGCGCCAGCACACCGGGTTCTGGTCCCAGTCAGGGCGCCGAATTCTGTCCCGGTTGCCCCTCTTCCAGTCCAGCTCTCTGCTGTGGCCAGGGAGTGCAGTGGAGGATGGCCCAAGTGCTTGGGCCCTGCACCCCATGGGAGACCAGGAGAAGCACCTGGTGCCTGACTTCAGATCGGCGCAGCGCGCCGGCCGTGGCAGCCATTTGGGGGGTGAACCAATGGAAGGAAGACCTTTCTCTTTGTCTCTCACTGTCTAACTCTGACTGTCAAAAAATAAAAAATAAAAAATATGCCATCTTAGGGGAGATAAATGTCCTCATATCTGCAGGGATCCTGTAGGATGAACTGCACCACTCCCTCAACTTAGCGATTTAAATTTTAGTAAAAGCAGAGCAAAGGAACATAAAGCTATGGGAGGGAAGCTGGGCAACACTGGATGACCAGGACCTGGTGGTGTCCAGCATCTGCATCTAGGGCATTGCAGAGGGGCTCAGTCCAGGCTTTATTAGGAAGATATTTGGAAACCACTGACTCACACTTGAATTGTTTTAGGATACTCAGAGAGGGGGCCGGCGCTGTGGCGCAGTGGGTTAACACCCTGGCCTGAAGTGCCGGCATCCCATATGCGCGCTGGTTTGAGTCCCAGCTCTTCCACTTCCGATCTAGCTCTCTGCTATGGCCTGGGAAAGCAGTGGAAGATGGCCAAGTCCTTGGGCCCCTGCACCTGTGTGGGAGACCCGGAAGAAGCTCCTGGCTCCCGGCTTTGGATCAGTGCAGCTCCAGCCATTGTGGCCAATTGGGGAGTGAACCATCGGATAGACCTCTTTCTCTCTCTGCCTCTCCTCTCTGTGTAACTCTGACTTATAAATAAATAAATCTTAAAAAAAAAAAAAAAGAGAGAGAGAGGGCCGGCGCCGCGGCTCACTAGGCTAATCCTCCGCCTAGCGGCGCCGGCACACCGGGTTCTAGTACCCAGTTGGGGCGCCGGATTCTGTCCCGGTTGCCCCTCTTCCAGGCCAGCTCTCTGCTGTGGCCAGGGAGTGCAGTGGAGGATGGCCCAAGTGCTTGGGCCCTGCACCCCATGAGAGACCAGGAAAAGCATCTGGTTCCTGGCTCCTGCCATCGGATCAGCGCGGTGCGCCGGCCGCAGCGCGGCGGCCATTGGAGGGTGAACCAACGGCAAAGGAAGACCTTTCTCTCTGTCTCTCTCTCACACTGTCCACTCTGCCTGTCAAAAAAAAAGAGAGAGAGAGAGAGAGAGAGAGAGAAAGAATGGCAAAAGCAAAAGAAAGAATGGCAAAAGCAAACAAAACAGTAAAAACCCTTGTTAACCTAAAACTCATGCAATCAAGAGATCTCTAAAACAAGAGTTTATTGAGATGGTGGCCAGAAAATGACCAGTCCTGGAAGAGACTCCCCAGCTTCCAACAGTCAGGTTCAGGGGTATTCGGAAAAAGTAGACCAGAACTAAGAGCAATTTTTTAATGGAAATTTGGCAAAAACAGGCATACTGTGTTGACATGAACCTGCATTGGCTGTAGAAAATAGGGACAGGATACCCAAAGCAAGGAAAGTGTGCGGACAGAGGACCCTCCGTAAGGAGAGGTCGGTTGGGGTTGTAAGGAGAATTTGTTCTCTGCCCCAGTTTCCTGGCACACAGCTCTAAATCCCCTTGGAATCTCCACAGTGGTAGCTTTTGTATGCTAAGGAGATGACTGGTAACTGGGGTTCCTGGATTACCTTGGATAGAAGACTTGTTGCCAGGGGAACCAACCTTGTGATCAGAAGCTTGGAAATTTCAATGCTGCCCCCTTGCCTAAGGCGGGGAGGGGCTGGCTCTGTGTAGCGGGTAAAACTGCAGCCTGCAATGCCAGCATCCCATATGGGCGCCGCTTCAAGTCCTGGCCACTCCGCTTCCTACCCAGCTCCCTGCTAATGCACCTGGGAAAGCAGCAGAAGATGGCCCAAGTGCTTGGGCCCCTGGACCCACATCAGAGACCTAGAAGCTCCTGGCTCCTGGCTTCGGATCAGCCCAGCTCTGGCCATGGTGGCCATCTGGGGAGTGAACCAGTAGATGGAAGATCTCTGTCTCTGCCTCTGCTTCTCTGTAACTCTGCCTTTGAAATAAATAAATAAATCTTTTTTTTTTTTACAGGCAGAGTGGACAGTGTGAGAGAGAGAGAGACAGAGAGAAAGGTCTTCCTTTGCCGTTGGTTCACCCTCCAATGGCCGCCACGGCCCTCGCGCTGCGGCCAGCGCACCGCGCTGATCCGAAGCAAGGAGCCAGGTGCTTCTCCTGGTCTCCCATGGGGTGCAGGGCCCAAGCACTTGGGCCATCCTCCACTGCACTCCTGGGCCACAGCAGAGAGCTGGCCTGGAAGAGGGGCAACCGGGACAGAATCCGGCACCCCGATGGGACTAGAACCTGGTGTGCTGGCGCCACTAGGCGGAGGATTAGCCAATTGAGCCACAGCGCCGGCCCCCAGAGCCACTTTCAATCTCTCCCTTTTTGTGACTCAAACTGCACAGCCTTTCCAGGGCTGGCCTGCAGATGGAGACCACTTCCTTAAAGGCCTCGGTCTTCCCACTGCCCTTGAGGAAAGTTGCCTACATAGCCAAGGCGGGAACAGCGGATGCTTCTAGGGCCTAACCCAGAGCTGTCAGAGGAGTGATGTGGGCTCTCCCTTCTGGAAAGATCTAGACTGTGACTGCTATGATGAGTGGTCCAGTTGGGAGAAAATTGAAATTTGTTATTGTTTGAACTGCTGATTATGTGGATTATTTTTATTTTTTAATTTTTGACACACCGATCTTTCTAAACCTAGAGAGAGAGTTCTCCCTCCTCTATCTCAGAGACTGGCAATGTCAGCTGTGCCCTTACGCTGATTCCGGGACAGCGGTGCAGACAGTGGCTCCAGCTCTGGCCACCCTGCTCCTGTCACTGAATCGCTCCCAACCAGAAGATCCCCATCACTACTCCCTTGTAGGCCAGAAGCGGATGCCAGTGCAGGGCATGTGCCCCTGACCGTTAACAACGGGGCTGGTTTTTCCCTCCAGAATGAGATGTTGGAGAAGACATGCACACATCATGAAACAGACAAACTGCATTAGGGCTCTCCTGGGAAGCCACCACTCTGAACCCCTGTGTGTGCTGGAGAGGAGGAGGGAGGGCCTGCCGTGGCTGCAACCACAGGATGGGGCTGTGGGGGACAGATGAGGAGCTGGTTTCCTCTGGCAGTGTGGCTGTTAGACCAGTGCGTGTGTGCAGAAAAGATCCAGCTCTCACTCTTTGTCTATAAATAGCGATACTTTCTTCAGCTGGAAAAAAAGAAATCTGTGTGTCTTATTGCACCTATAGCCTTGCCTTTCAGCAGAAAGGGCAAAAGGTTGAACCACATGCTCTCTCATGAGTCCAGACCAGGAGAACTAGAAGTTGTTTACCATTTCCATTCATATTTTTGTACTTTTATTCTATGTGTTCATATCCAGATTCAATACCATATTATTGTGTGCATGTGTGTTTAAGATTTATTTGTTAATTTGAAAGAGTTATATATAGAGAAGGAGAGACAGGGAGAAAGATCGTCCGTCTGCTAGTTCACCCCCCAGATGACCACAACAGCCAGGGCTGAGCCACGGTAAAGCCAGGAGCCAAGAGTTTCTTCCAGATCTCTCACATGGGTGGCAGGGGCCCAAATACTTGGGCCATCTTCTGCTGCTTTTCCCAAGCCATTAGCAGGGAGCTGGATCAGAAGTGGAGCAGCTGGTACATGAACTGGTGCCATATGGAATGCCTGCATTGCAGGTGGCAGCTTTACCCACCACACTAAAACGCCAACCCCACATGTATGTTATCTACCTGAATGGTATTGTACTATTCCTAACCTCTTAAAACATTTTTTGTACTCAACATTGTTTTGATTATATGTGTATATATATATGTATACATATATATACATATATATGTATATATATGTACAGATGCAGTTCATACATTTTAATTTCTTTTTCAATTTGTATTTATTTATTGTTCATTTTGTTTGAAAGGCAGAGAGATAGAGAGACAGAGATCTCCCATCCACTAGTTTATCCCCAGATGCTTACACCAGGGCTGGGCCAGCCAAAGCCAGGAGCCTGGAACTCAATCCAGTCTCAAGTGGGTAGCAGGGACCTAGGGACTTGAACCATCGCCTATTGCTTCTGTCAGAAGAGGAGCTGGAACTTGAACTAGGCACTCCAATATGGATACAGCTGTCCCCAGCAGGGACTCAACTGCTGGACCAAACACCCAACCTCGTTTTAACTTCTACACGGCATCATATCGTAAAGCTGTCTACAGTTTGTTTATCCACTCTATTAGCTTTTCGTCACTGTGATAAAATACTCAAGATGAGCTACTCAGTGGAGGAGTTTATTGTGGCTCACAGTCCGAGATAAGGCAGGCCTGGTGTGACCATCTGGGAGCCCAGAGGGTAGCACTGGAGGGGTGTGGGCAAGAGCAGTCACATGAGAAACCAGAAAGCAGAGACGTGAGACCCAACTCAGCTTTTATAACCAACCCAACCCTCTAGAGAGAACTACCTCCAGAGAGCATACCCCAGTGACCTACGGGCCTCTCACTAGTCTCACCCCCAAAACATCATAATTGGATAAAATTCCACTCTTAGTACCATTAACTTATCACTTTGAGGATTAAATGTCTGCATGAGTTCCGAAGTCATACCCTGGTCAAACCATGACATCTACTCTACAACTGATGAGTGTTAGGTCGACCTATTTCCACTTCTTGGAACATTTTTTAATAATTACTTTAACATAAATAAACATTTTAAATGAGCCAGTGCTGTGGTGTAATAAGGTAAGCATCTGCCTGTGGCACCAGCATCCCATATAGGTGCCAGTTCCCCATATGGGCACCAGTTCGAGTCCTGGCTGCTCCACTTGGGAACCAGCTCCCTGCTCATGGCCTGAGAAAGCAGTGGAAGATGGCCCAAGTGTTTGGGAGACCTGGAAGAAGCTCCTGGCTTTCGATGGGCCCAGCTCCAGCTGTTGCAGCCATCTGGGGAGTAAACCAGCAGGTGAAAGACCTCTCTCTCTGTCTCTCCCTCTCTCTGTAACTCTTCCTCTCAAATAAATAATGGCTGGGTCTGGGCCAGGCCAAAGCCAGGAGCTCAGAACTCCCTCCTGGTACTTGGGCCATCTTCTGCTGCCCTCCTATGTGTATCAGCAGGGAGCTGGATCAGAAGTGGGGCAGCTCAGACTCAACCGCTCTCTGATATGGGATGCTGACGTTGCAAGCAGAGGCTTAACCCCTGCACCCCCATATCAGCCCTTCAGATTTTTTACAGACTCTCAAAAAATCAGACTCTTCATGAAAAAATTACTTGACTTACATTCAAGTAAAATACATTTTTTGGTATATTTCTTTTTTCTGTGAGAAAGCAGTAGAAACATTTCTGGTCGTTTGCCTTTTAAAAATAAGGACAGGAAACAACACATTTAGAGTAAACATCTCACAATCAAAATGTAGACTTTGGTTGATCCCATGACTGGAAAGGAAGCCCTTAGGACTTTCGGTTTCTAAGTTCACATTTCCCAAATGTTCTAGTTTGTTTTGACAGGCCTGCATGGCTTTGATATCTAAAATCAAAGTCACTTTGATTTTTGCTATTTATCTCCTTCTGGATTTTTGGCCTCGGTTTTCTGCTGTTGCGCAAATAGAGCAAGATTTTAATTCACTGTAACACAAACCCCTGTTTGGTGGGATTTTTTCTTCCACTCTAAGGCAAAGGGTCAAACTTGCCCTCCCCCAGATTTAAGGCGAGGTTGGCACCCAACCCATTTATATCAACATGATCAGTTCCCTTCCCTCCAGCAGTTGTGTCCTGTCTAATGGCCTCTACCAGCCTCAGTGTCCCAGCTGGATGTGAGGAGCTGACTTTTGTTCAGGAAAGGGTATTTTACGAGAGAGTGAGTTCAATATTCTAAGAACAATTTGAGGCCGGCGCCACGGCTCACTAGGCTAATCCTCCGCCTTGCGGCGCCGGCACACCGGGTTCTAGTCCCGGTCGGGGCGCCGGATTCAGTCCCGGTTGCCCCTCTTCCAGGCCAGCTCTCTGCTGTGGCCAGGGAGTGCAGTGGAGGATGGCCCAAGTGCTTGGGCCCTGCACCCCATGGGAGACCAGGAGAAGCACCTGGCTCCTTGCTTAGGATCAGCGTGGTGCGCTGGCCGCAGCACGCTGGCCGCGGCGGCCATTGGAGGGTGAACCAACGGCAAAAAGGAAGACCTTTCTCTCTGTCTCTCTCTCTCACTGTCCACTCTGCCTGTCCAAAAAAAAAAGAAAGAAAGAAAGATTGATGCCGGAGAGAACCTGGCTCACAACAAAATGCTTGCAGAGGGCACAGTGAGTGGAGAAGAGAACCAGAAAGTCCAGGAGGGTTGCACTGGCGGTGGGGAGGCTCAGGGAAGACCTATAAGGAAATATTTTCCTAGGCAGCATGCGTGAATGATTTTTCATGTTATCTTGTTGGAGAGGCAAGCAGCCATTTTGATCTCTGTTGATGCTCAGAGTTCGGCTGTGGTCTGCATTCTTCACCTGTGCCTGTGCTACCTCCTCAAGGCGCTCTACTGTCTCTTCACACGCATCCTGCATCCCGTGTGTGGACAGCACAGCCTGACCTCACTCCTTCTCCGTCCGGGTCTCAGTGTTTGCCCATCCCTAGGCTGTGCCCACACTCCTGCGATGTGGCATTGCGCCTCCTCCCTCCTCCAGAGCAAGCTCCCGTGTTCCCTTTCTGTCTGGGACACCTTCCAGTGTAGAAGTGGAGGAGAGGTAAAGGGAACAAACGCGTTCTAAACCCCTTGGGCTGTCCAAGATGTGTGCATCATCTCAAAGGAAATGTCTAAATAACTGCTGGAATGATGCGCACCTGCCAAGGTGCTAGGGGGAGGGTTTGAATGAAGTTAGTAAAAAAAAAAAAAGTAATAAGCGAAAAAAGGCAAAAACAGTGGTGCAAATAGAAAACATAGTAAGACAAGCTTAAATCTTTTTTTTAAAAAAAGATTTTATTTATTTAATTGAGAGGTAGAATTACAGACAGTAAGAGGGAGACAGAAAGAGAGGTCTTCCATCCACTGGTTCACTCCTCTCCTCAAATGACCACAATGGCTGGAGCTGAGCCAATCTGAAGTCAGGAGCCAGGAGCTTCCTCCAGGTCTCCCACATGTATGCAGGGGCCCAAGCGCTTGGGCCATCTTCTACTGCCCTCCCAGGCCATAGCAGAGAGCTGGATTGGAAGAAGAGGGGCCAGGACTAGAACTGATGTCCAAGAAATCTTATGTTATCAGTAATTATATTGAATGTAAAGAGACTAAATGTTTCAATAAAGGTAATCCAAATTACTTAAAGACCAAAAAAAAAAAAAAGCTAAAACTAAATATATGCTCTTTGTAGCAGACATTTTAAGTATGTGAAAGGAGAGGCTGTAGCGTTGAAAGATCAGGGGCAGCAGTGTGGCCTATTGCACTGCCAGCAGAATGCTAGCACAGGTCACACATGCTCCACTTTCTACCTGGCTTCCAGGTGTGGGAAGCCCGTGGGTGACCACTCAGGTACTTGGGCCCCTGCCGCCCATGTAGGAAACTTGTACTGAGTTCCCAGCTCCCCAGCCCTGGCCAGCCCCAGCCATTGTGACCGTCAGGGGAGTGAACCAGTAGACAGAGCTTTCTCTGTCTCTCCCTCTCTCCATCACCCTGCCTTTCAAGTAAATAAATAAATACACATACATAAACTGAATAGTAAGCCATATCACACAAGCACTAAGAAAATTAAGCTGGTGTAGCTTTATTAATGTTAGATGTGGGGGTAGGTGTTTGGCGAGTAGTTAATTTGCCACTTGGGACACCAAATCCCATAATCGGGGTGCCTGGGTTCCAGTCCCAGCTCCACTCCCCATTCCAGCCTCCTGTTAATGTGTACCTTGTGAAGCAGCAGCTGATGGCTCAAGTTTTGATCTCCGCCTCCCATGTAGGAACCTGTATTGAGTTCCCAACTCCCAGTGTGAGCCCCACCCCAACCCTGGCCACTACGACCACTGGGGAGTAAGCCAGCAGATGGCAGTTCTCTGTGTATGTCTCTCTGCACCTCTCAAATAATAAATAAAGATAAAAACAGTAACTGAGGAGAAATAAATAAATTCACAATCATAGTGGGAGATTTATAAAAAAAGACTTCTTTCAGTAATTTGGAGAAAAGACTCAGAGAAAAATCAGTAGGAAATAAAGATTTAAAGTGTACAGTTTCCAAAAATTACCCTAATATATAGAGAGCACTACCCCTAACACACACTGCCAATCGCATACACAGCAATTACAAACATTCACCATATGCTGAGCCTAAAGCTGGTCTCAAGAATTACGTTCTTGGGGGCTGACACTGTGGTATAGTGGTGGAGCCACCACCTGCAGTGCTGGCATCCTATATGGGCACCGGTTCAAGACCTGGCTGCTCCGCTTCCAAGCCAGCTCTCCGCTGGGGCTTGGGAAATCAATAGAAGATGGCCCAAGTGCTTGGGCCCCTGCACCCGTGTGGGAGACCCGAGAGAGGCTCCTGGCCTCCTGACTTCAGATCAGCCCAGCTCTGCCTGTTGTAGTCATTTAGGGAGTGAACCAGTAGATGGAAGATCTCTCTCTCTCTCTCTCTCTCTCTCTTCCCCACCCCACCTCTCTGTAACTCTGCCTTTCAAATAAATAAATAAATCTTCTAAAAAAATTACGTTTTCTGACAAGTATGCCACCATGCTAGTAAGTAGTAACAAAAATATAACCTGAAAGTACTTTCTTTGTGGAAGTTAAGACACATAACTCTCAGTAACTGACTGACAAAGAAGGAATCAAAAGGGAGTTTAAAAAATATTTGGCTCTGGGGCTGGCATTGTGGCACTGCCAGTTAAGCCGCAACCTGTGACACCATCGTCCCATATGCGCACTGGGTGGAGTCCGGGTTGCTGCACTTCCGATCCAGCAGCAGATGATGGCCCCTGTACTTGGGCCCCTGCACCCATGTGGGAGTCCCAGGCTCCGAGCTTTGGCCTGGCCCTGATCAGGCTGTTGTGGCCATTTGGGGAGTAAACCAAGATCTCTGTTTCTCCCTCTCTCTGTGACTCTGGCTTTCAAACAAATATTTGAAAAGAAGAGACTATATGGCACTGAATGGTAATGAAAACAGATGGAGAAGTTGTGAGGTGCAGGTTCCGCCCTAGGGCGTGGGGGCGGGGAGTGTGCTCCACATCTTCGCTGGCACTGAGTGACGCTGGCAAGACCACGTGGAACAGAGCTGCAAGGGCTCCAAAGAGGCCACGGTGGCAGGTGGGTGTGGAAGCCGTCCAGAATCCAAAGTTCCAAACCGGTGGTGAATTTAACATTTTTCCCTCTGGAATCTATTGGCCTGAATGCAAAGCAACCCACAAACCTGGAAGTGGGAAACTGCACAGACAGAACTCCAAGAGGCGCCCCTCAGGGCTCAAGACTGTTCCAGGTGAGGAAAAGAGGCCCCTAAAACAGCAGAGTGCAGGAGATCCCTCATGGTTTTCGTTTCTCTGTTATTTTACACCCAGCCTGGAAGTGATCCATGGCAGGAGGGGCCCTGGGGGTCCACAGGAGACAGAAACTCGAGGGAGGGGAAACGTCTTGATCAGAATGGCAGTCCAAGGGTGAAAGGGGACCCTCCATTGCCTTTCCTCTGTCTGCTCCTGCCTCCAGGTCCCAGATGTGAGCATGAGAAGCGAATGGCAGAGTCTGTCAGTAAAGCCCTGTGTTGTTGCCCAGAGAATCAGAAAGCACCAGGATGGAGAGGAGGGGTTCCAGAGCAGCCCCATCAAGTTTTATGGGCTCCTGGGATGGCCCTCCAGTTGAATATGCCTGGAGCTAACCTAAGCCGCATGCCCTGGGGGATGAAGGGCGTCACTCACTCACCATGCAGGTCCCCGACCCGCCACTAGGAGGCACGCGTCTGCCGCAGGTCCCAAGAGCACTGCAGAGGCTCTGAAGGGAACTGGTCCAGAGAACACAACCCAAGGTGGTCACAGCCGAACAGGCTGATTGTCTACTAGCAAAGCGTCTCAATGTCCAGGATATAACCCCCAAGTACTTGGCATATGAAGGACCAGGAGATCCCCATTTACACAGGAAAAAAGAATCTACAGACGCCAGTGCTGAGAGGCCACTGTTAAAGAAATGCCGAAAGTGTGAGTACTCTTGGAATGAATGAAAATCTCAATGAGGAAACAGAAAACAAAGACGAACCAAATGGGAATTTTAAAATTGAAAAACATAGCAACCGGGGCCAGCGCCGTGGTGTAGTAGGTTAATCCTCCGCCTGCGGCGCTGGCATCCCATATGGGCGCCGGTTCTGGTCCCGACTACCCCTCTTCCAATCCAGCTCTCTTCTGTGGCCTGGGAAAGCAGTAGAAGATGGCCCAAGTCCTTGGGTCCCTGCACCCATGTGGGAGACTGGGAAGAAGCTCCTGGCTCCTGGCTTCGGATCGGCACAGCTCCAGCTGTTGTGTCCATTTGGGGAGTAAACCAACAGAAGGAAGACTTTTCTCTCTGTCTCTCCCTCTCACTGTCTGTAACTCTACCTCTCATTTAAAAAATAACATCTTTAAGGCCAGTGCTGCAGCTCACTAGGCTAATCCTCCGCCTTGCGGCGCTGGCACACTGGGTTTTAGTCCTGGTCGGGGCACCGGATCCTGTCCCGGTTGCCCCTCTTCCAGGCCAGCTCTCTGCTGTGTCCAGAGAAGGCAGTGGAGGATGGCCCAAGTGCTTGGGCCCTGCACCCCATGGGAGACCAGGATAAGAACCTGGCTCCTGCCTTCGGATCAGCGCGATGCGCCGGCCCCAGCACGCTGGCCGCAGCGGCCATTGGAGGGTGAACCGACGGCAAAGGAAGACCTTTCTCTCTGTCTCTCTCACTGTCCACTCTGCCTGTCAAAAAAGTAAAAAAAAAAAAAAAAAAAAAAATCTTTAAAAAAATAAAATTTAATTTTAAAAACGAAAAACATAGCAACCAAAATATGTCATGGATTTACTAATAAATTACTCCTGTAGCCACTGCAACAAATGAGAAGAAATTCAGTGACTTAAATAAATTCTGTTATGGTTCTGAGGGTCAGAATAATTTATTTTTATTTGATTTGAAAGGGAGAGAGAGAGAGAGAGAGAGAGAGAGAGAGAGATTAAGATATTCCATCCACTGATTCACTCCCCAAATGCCCACAACAGCCAGGGCTAGGCCAAGCCAAAGCCAGTAGCCCAGAACTACATCTGTGTCTCCATGTGGGTGGCAGGGACTCAAGTGCCCGAGCCATCAGCTGCTGGCTGCCAGGGAACGCATCAGCTGGCACTGGAAGAGGGATAGCACCAGTGTGGGATGTGAACATCCCAAGTGTGTCTTAACTGCGGCACCAGATGCCCGCCCCTGATTTTCCTTAACAACAGTGTTTATTGCTATATACCGTGGAGACTTTTCAAAAATTTTTCATTATATATTTGAGAGGAAGAAAGACACACAGGGAGAGACAGAGCGTGAGACACAGACAGCGCTCCCAGCTGCTCCTTGTTCACCACCTAAATGCCCACCATGACTGAGGCCAGGCGCAGGCCAAAGCCAAGAGCTGGGAGTATATCCAGGTCTTCCATGTGGGTGGCATAAACCCAATTATTTGAGCCGCCACCATCACCTCCCAGAGTTTGCATTAGCAGGAAACTGTTGTCAGGAGCCAGAGTCGGGAATCGAACCCAGGCACTCTGATACAGGATGCAAGTGTCCTAACCAGCATCTGAATCTCTAGGCCGGATGCCCACCCGTGAAGTGCTTCTTACAGACCTAAAATCAACACGGCGGCAGGCTTCCTTTGGAAATCCCAGGACAGAAGTATTTCTTTGCCTTTTCTAGCCTCTGGAGGCTGCCTGCGTTCCTTGGCTCGCGGTGTTTTCCATCATCCCAGGGGAGGCTATTCGGTCTGCAGTTAAGATGCTGAGTCCAGGGCCGGCGCCGCGGCTCACTAGGCTAATCCTCCGCCTTCAGGCGCCAGCACACCGGGTTCTAGTCCCGGTCGGGGCGCCGGATTCTGTCCCGGTTGCCCCTCTTCCAGGCCAGCCCTCTGCTGTGGCCAGGGAGTGCAGTGGAGGATGGCCCAGGTGCTTGGGCCCTGCACCCCATGGGAGACCAGGATAAGCACCTGGCTCCTGCCATTGGATCAGCGTGGTGCGCCGGCCGCAGCGGCCATTGGAGGGTGAACCAACGGCAAAGGAAGACCTTTCTCTCTGTCTCTCTCTCACTGTCCACTCTGCCTGTCAAAAAATTAAAAATAATAATAATAAAAAAAAGATGCTGAGTCCCTAGGTTTGAGTCACAGCTCAGTTCCCAGTCTGGCTTCTGGCCGATGCGCACCCTGGGAAGCAGCAGGGCATATAGGCCCAAGTCCTTGGGCCCCTGCTCTCATGTGGGAGACCCAGAAGACGCTCCGGGCTCCTGGCTTCGGATTGGCACAGCTCTGGCCACTGCGACCAATTGGGGAGTGAACCAGTGGATGGAAGACCTCTCTCTCTCTCTCTCTCTGCCTTTTAAATAAATAAATAAATCTTTTTTAAAATAATAAATATATAAATAAAGTGTATCACTCCTAGGAGGGAGAGAGGGGGAGGAAGGAAGGGACTATCATTATACTCTTAGAATTATATCTATGAACTATATTAAATCTGTTACAAACTAAACCAAGAATAAAAATTAAGCATCAAAAATTTTTAAAAGACAGTGCATTACTCCAACTCCGCCTTTTTGTCCGTGTTTCCTTTGGGTAAGGATTCTTGTGATTACATCGTGCAGGCCCAGATCATCCAGAACAATCTTCCTAACTCAGGACTCTTAATTTAAGAGTCACAGCCGCACCATCCCTTTGCCATAAGGTTGCCTATCCCCAGGGCCCAGGGTTTAGTAAGTGGGTGGACATTATTCTGAATGAGGATGACAGAGAAAAGAGCAGGTCACTTAAAGACAGATCAATAGAAATGGTCCCCTCTGCACAGCAAAGAGGAAACATTAGAAAACTGTGCAGAGCCTTTATGGTCTATGGGAAAACACTCAAAAGGCCTAACAGTTGCCTCATGAGAGCAGCAGCAGGAGAGGAGAAAGAATGCAAAGCAGAAGAAATATTTGCAGATACAGGGCCTCACGTGCCGAAATCTGATGAAGCAAAACTGTTCAGATGCAGAATGGGCAGGGAATCCAAACAGGCGAGCTCCAAAGAAAGCACACGCCTCGACACAGCAGAACTGCTCGAAAGCCAAAACAAAAGAAAAATCCTGAAAGAGCCAAGAAAAATCACACATCACTTATGGGAAGACCCGAGTCTCATGGCTGTGGATTTGCACTGGAAATCATGAAAGCCGGAAGGAAGTAGAGCGACATTTCCCAGTCCTGCTGGGGTGGGCTTTTGACATCCTGCCCCACTTCCAGTTCCAGCTTCCTGCCAACCTACACCCTGGGAGACAGCAGGTGATGGCTCAAGTACTTGGAGCTCTGCTCGCCACCCACATCGGAGCCTTGGGGGGAGTCCCTGGTTCCCGCCTTGTCTGGCCTAGCCTTGGTCGTTGTAGGCATTTGGGGAGTAAAGCAGTAGATGAAAAGTAGATGGAAGAGTCTCTCTCTCTCTCTCTCTCTCTCTCTCTCTCTCTCTCTCTCTTTCTCTGTGTGTGTGTGTGTGTGTGTCCTTATGCCTTTCAAATAAATAAAAAGTATGCACATAAAAATTTAAAATACTTCAAAGATCATATAATTTAACTCCTTCTCTCCAGGGGCCCCTGGAAAGGAAAGGAAAAAATAAGAAGAAAAACACATACATGACCTAGCTCTCCAAGAGCTCTGAGGAACGGGAGGTGAGAGAGGCATATGCAATGTGATCCAATGAACCTGACTGAGCACTCTGCAAACTTCTGTGCAAAACTGGCTGCTCCAATGTCAATCCCCTGGTTGGTTCACTAGATTACCTCATTAGGATACACCTTGACCAATCAGGGAGAACTTCCCAGTTTAGAAACACAGAAATGTTGGAGCGAGGCAGCCTTGAGAAGCAACTTGGGACAAGCAGCCCTTCAGGGCGGGGAGCCCCCCACAGGGCAGGCACTCTGGGCTGCTGGAGAGTTTTCTCTGCTTGTTCCAATAAGCCTCCTTGTTGGATGTGGTCACAAGACAAAGAACCTGGCCAGTAACCCAGAATGCAGCAGTGCTCCTTGAGGGGTCTGGCAGAGCGCAGAGGAGAAGCTGCGACACAAGGAGCTGTAACGTGGGAGCTGTGCTGCTCCTGAAGAAGCCAGAGAGAAGGGGGACCTTCCACATCTCTCTGCGATGAGACACAGACCCGGGCAACTGGAGCCCCAGGCTCCTTCTGCCTCTCCCACAGCACCGACACAGAGCTCCCGCAACAACTTGATCGCTATGAAATCTGACATGTGGAAAGATGGAGTGGTTGTCTTCAATCACAAGCCTCATTAATTTCATAACATAAGATATGACCACTTTGGGGCCTGCTCTATGGTGCAGCAGGTTAAGCCACCATTTGCAGTGCCAGTGTCCCATATGGGCACCAGTTTGAGTCCCAGCTGCTCCACTTTTTTTTTTTTTTAAGATTTATTTATTTGAAAGTCAGAGTTAGGCAGAGAGAGAGAGAGAGAGAGAGAGAGAGAGAGAGAGAAAGAGAAAGAGAAAGAGAAAGAGAAAGAGAAAGAGAAAGAGAAAGAGAAAGAGAAAGAGAAAGAGAAAGAGAAAGAGAAAGAGAAAGAGAAAGAGAAAGAGAAAGAGAAAGAGATTGTTCATCCACTGGTTCACCCCCCAGTTAGCCACAATGGCTGGAGCTGCACTGATCCAAAGCCAGGGAGCCAGGAGCTTCCTCTGGGTCTCCCACATGGGTGCAGGGGCCCAAGCACTTGGGCCATCTTCTACTGCTTTCCCAGGCCATAGCAGAGAGCGATATCAGAAGAGGAACAGCCAAGACTCGAACCAGTGCCCATATGGGATGCCAGCATTGCAGGTGGCAGCCTTACCTGCTATGCCACAATGCTAGCCCCTGCTCCACTTTTGATCCTTCTCTTTGCTAACGTGCCTGGGAAAACAGCAGAGGATGGCCTAAGTGCTTGGGCCCCTGCACTTACCTGGGAGACTTGGAAGAAGCTCCTGGCTCCTGGCTTCACCTAGGCCCAGTCCCAGCCATTGTGGCCATTTGGAGAGTGAACCAGGGAGTGGAAGATTCTCTCTGACTCTATCCTCCCTCTCTCCCTCCCTCCCTCCCTCCCTCCTTTCTTCTCTCTCTCTCTCTCTCTCTGTAACTACCTTCCAAATAAATAAATAAATCTTAAAAAAAGAAAGGAATATATGGCCACTTTTCTATCATCTTAGCCTCCTTAGCTCTACTAGGCGTGTACTTCAGCTGTAAACAGCAGAAACTGCTCCAACGAGCTCAAGCCGAAGACAAAATAATCGAAAGAAGTCAAGGCCTCTGATGGCAGCTCCAGACCTGGGGTGCACATGAGCATCCGGGATAAACTGAAGTTAGAGCAAGAAGCTCTCCTGCCATTTGCCTCTGTTCCAGCCTGTCTGTGAGTTTACTTTGCCTTGAACCCAGGCCTGTTCCCAGTCCACATGACAGCAGATCAATAGCTTCTGCATTTTATATGCTGCAGGTCCAAGTGGCTCTGGCCCTCACTAAAATGACCCCAGAGAGAATTGTTCCAACTTGGTTTTGAATGTGTACCTGTGGCCTGGACTATAGTCTGCAAATAGTGCCTACGTCTGTGCTTGGACGTGGAGAGGCATTTCTGGAAATGAGTCAGAAAATAACCGTAATATATGTGGAAACAATCACTTTCCAGGGCAAGGACCTAATTTTTTTTGTCCTTGACACACATTTCTCTAGGGTTTCTTTTTTTGGTTTGGAGACTGGATGTTTTATTTATTTAATGCTCTAAAAATTAATCAAAATATAGCAAACATAATTACCAGCACCACCCAGTAGTACACCCAGCATCTCCAGGGCATCTAACAAGCTGTTTAAAAATATTCTCAAGGGCCGGCGCCATGGCTCAATAGGCTAATCCTCTGCCTTGCGGCGCCGGCACACCGGGTTCTAGTCCCGGTCGGGGCACCAGAATCTGTCCCGGTTGCCCCTCTTCCAGGCCAGCTCTCTGCTGT